AGAACCATTTCTCGACCGACTCCCGAGGCTGCCTAAAGTTCAGCGCCCTTTCCTCATTAATGGGCAAGAAAGATCGGTCAACCAACAGCTCCTTTTTCTTCCTTTCTTGCTGAACGACATCATGCTTCTTCTTCATTCGTCCCTCAACGACTGGGACACGATCAGCACGTCTTTTTCTTTGTCGGGTTAACGGAGTCTCCTGCTCCTCAACCACATCTCGGTTACCCTCGGGCTCAATAGAAACAACTTCAACAGTTGGTGGGGCCTCAGGCTGAGTAATTCCTGTAACCGATTCCATTTCAGATGAACCGGTCACAGCAGCAGCTGCAGCAATAGCGTCTATCAGACCAGTCGTCGCTATCGCCAAAGAATTCGGCTGCACAGCTTCAGTAGCAGCCACCGACGTCGCACCATCACCGACATCGGTCTCTTTCGGATTCAAAATCAGACTCGCTAGGAAGGCCTTTACCAACTTCTTGTGACCCATTTCAGATAAGCGTTGCTCTTTGCTTTTTCCGACTTTGGTTCGAAGGTCTAAGTTCGGACGGAAAGCTTTGGCGTCACGGATAGTCTTAAATCCGAGCACTCCGAGAAGTGGGTAATATATTGCAAAGAGAGAAATCCGAGTTATGATTGTCTTTGTGAACGGACTTCAAATAAGATTGAAAATTTATAATTAAAAAATTACCTGGCTGAAAAAAAGGATCCAAAATCTCAGGACAAAGACCAGCCGCCTTTAACCTCGAGTCCTTCAAAATCAGTTTAAAGCTGCGTTGTTCTTTCTTCAACTTCAGCAACTCGGTAACTCGCTCCTTCAACTCCGCACCGAGTTTTGATTCCTTCTTTCGGGCTGCAAACAGTAAAATTGCTGACCTGTTAGTACAAAAATAAAGTAAAGTCAGAGCAACTCGGTACAAGAGACATTAAAAAGACTTACAATAAGCAGAATTAACTTCGATGGGTATCGACATCCCATCGATTAAGGGTTTAAAAAAATTCGGAGTTTGCCAATCTCCGCCAATCCATAACCACTCCTCTTGAAATCCATGGAGAGAATCTGGGATATCGGTAACTAAGTCGCCGACTTTCAATCCGCCTTGTGGCCTCCCCGCGCAAGCAAAACAAATTAATGGGTCGGCCACTTGCCTATCGGCACATCTCCTGAAAGTGAAGGGACTCCTTATTTCCTCGACTGTGGGCATGTCCCAATTCTTCTCCATCAATAGTACCATAAGGCCGATTATTCTCTTCCAAGTATTTGGCGCTATCTGGCACAAACCAAGTCCCCAATCCCTTAAGTAATCGATAATCAAGGATGAGAGAGGAAATCTTAGTCCCGACCTCAGTGAATCGGCGAAAACACCAACACAACCTGGCGGAGGGCAAGTAATCCTTTCACCCGGATAAGGAGCAAATAACCTTACCGAGGAAGGGACATAAACTTCCCCTCGAAGCATGACGATGTCGGCGTCGGTCAAAATGCTTGGTTCGCCCCTGTACTCATCAATCGGTTCGGGCCACCGACGAGCGGGACGTCTCCAATATTCGACAAGAGACATCGCGTTATCTTCTACCGCCTTATCTTCTTCGGTTATGTCCCTATTTAGATTCAGTCTTTCTACGAGAATAGGATCCCGCCGAAAATACTCGAGAGGCAATTCCAAATCCTCATCGGTAAAAATCTTAATCTCAGAAACTGTACGGCTACTGCTATCCTCACCGTGAGAAGTCATCTTCCCGACATTAATTGGAAAATAAAAATAAATTTATGATCGACAAATGTAAGAATACGAAAACTAGGGCAAAGTCTTACCGAAAAATATGAACGCCCTCAATCAAAGAAGACGCAAAGAAATCACGCAAATCGTATGAAGTAAAAAGAGAAAGAGGAATTTGAAAGGGCTCAAGCACCAAGATAGCAAAGAGTTCGAAAATCAAAGGTAAAAAACTCTTCACAGTCAAAACCGATTGCGATTTATAGGTTTTGATTTATAACCGTTGGCCAAACCCGAGATCAGCGCGTGTAACGGACGTGTCCCTAAATAGTGTAACGTTACAATAATGATTATTACACTTGGGCAAATATCGAAACGCCATGTCGCTTAATAATTCTATCCGTTGGACCCATTAAATGCGGACGCGTCTTTTGAGAACTGCCACGTCAGTCCAAAGTTATATGGTCATTGAAAGCAAAATTGATGACAAAACCAAGTGTTCTCATGTCGGTTATAAAGTAAAAGAGAAGTCGGAGAACAACCAAGTCGGAATTATAAAGACGATAACGACATCAGCAGCCATTTTACAAGAAGCTCAAATACCCACTAATGTCGGGGGCCTCTCTGTTGATGACCGACTTGGCTTCATGAGGTTAGAGCCAAAGATTAATCCTTTCGTTCGATTAATAGTCCCTCAGAACGAGCTAAACTTAGCTCAAGTCGGTACCAGTTAAATACGTTGATTACCGACTTCCAATTGACTGAAAGTAGAACTGACAACTTATCAGAAGCCGACAACCGACTTCACCAACATTGTGAATATAATCTTTTAAATATTATCCATTCATCCGATATCCGAGGAGATCGAATTTCCAAGCAAGAAAAGCTGTGCATATTCGATTGGACCATCAAAACAAAAAGCAATCATTGATGTTTCCTCATTCCACTACACACCGTTTTATCGAAGCTGCTCAACATTAAATGCGATCTTATCTACCTCGGACAAAAAGACAAAAGCGACCGTACTATAAATAGCAGAATTTATAGTTGTACAAAGATCTTTTGATTTTTTTCTTTTTCGCACATTGTACACAGACTTGAAATAATCTCGGTCAAGGACAGAAAACCGACTTCTTGTACTCTTGTGATATCATAAATAAAATACGATTATCTTCTTATTTCTATTTAAACACACCTAGCTGTTTATAATTTTAAGTTGTTAATTACGTACAACAACATACTTATGAAAGCAATTTCAAATACAAATTAATTTAAAAATCGTGCAAATTAGATACAAATTTAGAAAACAAATAGTTATATAATTCCTAACAAATTCTTTCAATCTTTTTGAATAATTTTTTCTTTCAAAACATTGTGTACAAATTGGATAAAACTACGTACCAATTTTTATTTTTTTAAAAAAAATGATATTTGGATGGGATATACATTCAAAATCGTATCCACATTTTTTGGTAACAAAATCGGTTCATCTTGGATATTTAAAGTTAAACCTTATCCAATATTTAGGGAAAAAATTCAAATCAATTTCAAAATCAGGTGCAAATTTTCAAATTTTGAATGCACTGTTTTTTTTGGATTCATATGTTTTTTTCTTAACCATGTATTACCGAGATTTTGGTAATTTCATATTATATTTTTTTATTATGTCCATATCAATTTTTTTTAGGAAAAAAGCAGTTGCATAAATCTTAAAAAATTATTCTAATTTTTATTAGAATTAATTTCAGTTCAATTTGTTTGGTAAAAAAATCGGTACAATATTAGAAAAATTCGGTTGCATTTTTAGGAAAAATTGATGTTTCTTTTTACTTTGTTTTAACCAAATATTTGAATCAATTTGTTTGGTAAAAAAGTCATTGTATTGGTAAAAATTTCATTCGTAGGAAAAACTAAAGATTCTTTACAATTTNGAGGAAGTGTTCAATAACACATAAATTTTATTTTAATGATATTTTAATGTCATCAGATAATTTACAAAAATACACTTTAAAAAGCAAATAGGTAATAAATGTTCATGTGCATCACACGAGTAATGTACTAGTATATATAAAAAGAGTAGTTCGGCCTAATAATTAAATCGGTCTAATACAACAACCGAAAAAAAAAAAATAATAACAAAGATGTTTATCCCATTTAAATTTCTCAATGGTATGATTTGAACATACTAAATGGAAATAACAAATATACATAGGAAATGCTACAAGTACATAATAAATGAACATAGAGTTGTACATAACACTCATATAGAGTGAGGTCCACTTAATATTTTTGATAGAACTCACTTAATGTGAGTGTTATGTACACCTCTATGTACAATACTATGTACTTATAGCATTTCTCATATACATAATCATATTCGATTAAATATCATAAGAGGAACGACATTATTTAGAATTATATGTAGTCAACATGTTCATGTGCACTTGAAACAATTACAAAACCCAGAAGCATTAACAACAAACACAAAAGGTGAAAGAGAAAGAAAAAAGAAATATCTTCTGCTAAACGACTCACAGAGCTCGTCGGTGGAGATGAGTCACCAAAACGTGAGGCAAAATCTCAGCTGGAGCTCCATATGGGCTGTCCCTTTCAATTCAAAAATTTCGGGCATGTTTGTATACAAAAATTTTCATTCAAAGTGGATTCTTTTTTGTTAACTAGCGTTAGTTTGAAAAAGGATTATATGATTATTTCACTATTTGTTAGCAGAATTTTGAATTTATATTAAAATAATTTTTATAATAAAATAATTAAAGTTGATTTGATGTAAAAGTAGAAGAGAGATGATAGAGAGAGATTATTAGTTAAAATTATGTGAGTAGATGAAAAGCGGTTTATAGAGCCATCGAATGGCTCGGCTTATAGAGCCATCCATAGTTATCCACAAATAGTGTATTGACACGTGTCCTGCAATAAATACACATTGGACACATGTCAATACATAAAGTTATGGATGACTCTATAAGAAAACTATCTGATGGCTCCATAACATTTCTGAGATGAATAGTGAATTAAAGTAGATGTGATGTTTATGAATGATTGGATGATATTATTTAATTATATTGATATTATTAAAAATATTAAAATTAAGTTAAAATTGAGTTAGATTTTGAGTGAAATTTTTTATACAAACATGCTCGAATCTCATAAAAATAAACATAAATAACTGATGGGTACGATATGTAGCAATAATTGATACTAATAAAAGAACAGCAACAAATAATAAATGAAAAATTAAATAGCTCCACTTTCCTGGTTGTTACATAAGCCCAAAACCCTCGTGCGCTTACCTCCATTTGTCTCTCTTTATCCCACTCTCTCTCACACACTGCACACACACTATTCCATTATCAAATGTTTTTATGTTGTTAGCTGTAAATGGACTGATAATAATTTAGATTAAAACAAAGAAAGAGATTAGGCGCAGAAAGTTTAAATCTCGGGGAGCCCCACTTTAAATTTTTCCATTAAATATCATCCTTATCATTAGGAGTGTCTAGAAGAGAAGCCAAGAAAGAGTAAATCTTGATCAGCCCACTTAAAATTTCAGTAGCATTTTAGAGAGAGAGAGGCCAGAAAAATTGGATCTTGATATACCACATTTGATTTTTGGCTTCATAATTTGCAGGCAATTTGCAAGGTGCTGCTTTTTCACTGGATCTGGGTTTTTTATTTTCGAAGGTGATTTCTTGTTATTTGATTGTAGTGATTTTAAAACTTTCGTCAAATGGAAAGGAGCAGATTTTTTTTTTCCTTTTCTATGTTGTCTGATGCATTTATGCTTAATTTTGTGGTTCCAAAAGTATGAATAATGTTCTTATTCTTTTTCCCCCCAATAATTGGTTCTGCAATTTGTTTGTATTTCCCTTAGTTTCCCCACAATCAATTATTTGGTACATAATCGAGTTTTTGTCTTCATTTTCATTGCTAACTTCTGATTTTATAAATATCCTGTAAAAGATCACTTTTTTTTTACATGTTTAGTGACAGCAATTACTAATATGCTTTCATTTTCATTTGAATTGATGCGTAATTCACACAGATTTTCTACTGGATATTCTCCGAGGCTGAAGAAAGTAACAATAATCACCACCTCACAGAAATATAAAGATTGTGAACTTGACAAGATAATGGCTCTTATGATTGAGAAAGATACTATCATTGATATAGAGAGCTGTCTTAGCACTATCAAAGAACCCGAAACACCCGATGTTTCAAACCATAAAGTCGGTGAAAACACTATCAAAGTATGTGGTTTGCCTATGAGTGTTGATGATCTGGCCAAGTGTAGTGAAAATTCACAGATTAGTCCGAATTCCGGAAAAAATGCTAAAAAGGAAAAACGATTCTCGATGAGCGCTAAGAAGCCGCCCAAACCCCCACGGCCCCCGAGAGGGCTGTCTTTGGATGCGGCCGATCAGAAGCTGATCAAAGAGATTTCCGAATTAGCCATGATTAAACGTGCTAGGATAGAGAGGATGAGGGCATTGAAGAAGATGAGGGCGGGGGCAAAAGCGTCATCTGGCGCATCCTCGTCCAGTGGCAACTTGATTGCGATGCTCTTCACGGTTGTTTTTTGCATCGTGGTTATTTTTCAAGGTAATATGATTTTTTTTTTTTTTATTTGTTNTTTTTCTTTTTAAAGGGCATATAAGATAGTTTAATTTTTCTGTGAGCACAACAGATTTGGTTTTCATTGAATGAAAGACGACTAGTTATAATGTAAATCCAAGTTGAATTTTTGTTCTTTTTTTTGTCAAAATTTGAGGGGATGTTCAACTTAGTTTGGAATCAAATATTCATTTCACATTGATGGCATTTCAAGGCACAGAAGTTTGTAGAATGGGCTGATTTTTGCACAAATGCATCTGCAATTTACATTTAACAATTTTATTTTTATTTTTTAATTACAAACCTTGTATGACTATTAAGCACTTGCATGTTTATGCTTCAAAATTGGATTTTGTCGGTTGTAAAGACGTGCCTTGTTCTCATACACATGAGATAAGAGCTCTAGCTAGTATTGCTGTCTTGAAATCTCATTAACCATGTTATGTTATTAGGTTGCCATCCTTTGCGTATTTTGCCGAGTAATAGCTCCACCACTAAAATAATGCATTCCTCAACGCCAAATGGAGCAAATGAGCACAAATTTTTCGATGTTGTAAACCAATATTGGAGTTCATCCACGACTAATGTAAACGCACATTCCGGTTCTGAATCTCCCAGGTTTTTTTCTTTGTTTTTCCTTTTGTGATATCTCCCTTAAAAAAAAGAAAAAGAGAAGTATAACCGAAGCTTACACTTTATTTTCACAATACACGGATTTTGACATAATATACCAATTTTCTTTTCTATTTCTTTGGCAGTTATGTGGATCGGGCTCCTGTTTTAGATAACAAGGACGATGCCAATAATCGCCCTTTTGAGTAAATATGTGTGAGGACTTTGTTTCGAATTGTGTAGAAATATGCCCAGGCATTGAGACTGACCAATAAAAGCTCCTTTGTTGCTAAAGTTGATGAAGTATACATCTCATAATGTTATAAATGCCGAGCGCAAAGAATCCAAATTCGCTTGTGTTCAGGTCCTCGACTTGTTCTTCACTCTTGTATATTCATGATGTTCAATAAACACGATGAGCTTGCATTAAAGGATTTCCATATGTGAAAACCCGATTTGTCGGTAGGATTTCTCTTTGATTTGATTAATGCAGAAAAATCTTGTGAAATGCTGTGGCTCATTTTGTTGGAAGGTATTTGAAGACATCTGCAAGAAGTTTTTGTTGGCCCCATTTTTTCTCAAGTCTCATGTGCTTTGATATTGGAACTGAGTCATTGTAATTCTTTGGTGGGGTTTGAATTTTTTAAATTGATTTGACTTGGTGAGTGAAAAAAATCAAAAATTGAAATAAAATATAATCGATAAGAGTGTAGTGTGATCTGTTGGGTGTTTTGACTTGGTCTTTTTATTTATTAATATTATTTTGAATTCTTGGATCATTCTTTCTGTTGATAGTCAGTCATGTCACGTGAAACTGATGAGATTCGTTTTACCACGTTTGATCCAAGTTCTAAACTTCATCTGCACTCAACTCCTAAAAAAATATAAAATTTCATCTGAAGAAGAATAAATCTCTACAAAGAGCGCTAGGCTCTGGCGAAGTAAAATGAAGGGGAAAATTTGAAGAAAATTGCTCCAACTCTTGGAAGGGATTGAGATAGAATTTTTTCGAAATAGTTTGTCTCACTTGGTAATAGAGATAGAAAAGTAAAAGGAAAATAATTGGTCTTTATGTTATTTTTAAAAAAAAAGTGATGAATTTGAGATTTTTAAATAAAGTAGAATAAAAATGTTATTGTGATATAAAAGTAATAAAATATTAATTGATGAGATTACTGTATTGAAATATGCGATTAAATAAATAGTGTTTTTTTGATGGAAAATATAATAAAATGTTATTTTTATTGTTTAATTATGTTAGTGGGATTGCAGAAAAAAAGAGACTAAATAAAAAGTAGGTCTGTAATTACAAATTGTTTCATTTCCAAATTTGATGTCTTAAATTTTAAGTAAAGATATTTTTCATTTATACACACACATATATAGGGGTACGCTCCGGTGAGAATGGTGCTCAATGAAAGAAATAAGAATAAATCGTAGCTATTAGATCGGATAATCTAATGACTAAAAAAATATCTATTTTTTTATACTCATTGAAGGTAAATTGGTAAATACAACATACTAAAATAATTAATAACATGTGGGACCCACTATAAATCAAATAATACCCAACCAACTCATCCATTTACCACATGTAATTCTCTCTCTCACACACTAACACACACTATCTCTCTCCTCATTCTCTCTCCCTCGGCGCACACACACAACTATCACACACTAAAAAATCAGATTTATTTATNGAAGTGGACAAAAAACAAAAAAAAAAAAAAATATAGTGGACCAAAATAGAAAGCACGTATTCACTGAATACGTTTTCAATTGTAAACCGTATTTCAGAAATACGGTTTACAATGGAAAACGTATTCAGTGAATACGTTCTTAAAAAAAAAAATAATTAAGTTAATTAGCATAATTAACTTAATTAAATTAAACAAAAACGTATTCGCTAAATACGTGTTAAATTAAAAAAATCCAATATGTATTATATAAATACGTTTTTAAACTAAAATTAATTTTATATTATTTTTTTAATTATAAAACGTATTTATGAAATACGTGTTACAAAAAAATCAATTTTGTCAATTCTTGAAAATAATTTTTTTAGGAAAATAATTTTTGAAATATAAAATGTATTACATAAATAAGTTTTTTTTGTAATTTTGCCCCAAATTGATTTTTTTGCCCTAATTTTAGCCCCAAATTGATTATGCCCTAAATTTTTTTCCCTAATTTCACTAATACGTTTTTATCAAAAATCCTGTTCACAATCAAATACACCTGTTCACAACCAAAAATACATCTGTTCACAACCAAATACACTTTGTTCGAGCAACTAATATCAGCATATTCGCCCAATAATAATCCATCATACCATATAGGGTTGTAAACAAATCGAATCAAAGCGAATACTAAGATATTCGATTCGGATTCGTTAAAATATTCGAGGATTCGAATTCGTATTGGATTCGTTAACGAACTCATTTTCTGATTCGTATTCGATTTGTTTAGAATATTCGAACATATTCGATTCGATTTGAAATTCGTTTTCAAAAAAATATTATAATTACAAAAGTAATTTTTATTTTTCCATATATATTTAGGGAAATTTGTAACTTATGATGTTTTTACTTTTTATGTCATAAAAATATTATGAATATAAATATATATATATATATATACACATATATATTATAAACAAAATACATACTATATATAATTTATAAAATTTAAATTATTATTATTAACGAATCGAATATTCGAATTTCGAATCGAATATCTACAAATTCGAATTCAGATTCGTTTAACTTTTGAATATAAAACATTATTCGTATTCGAATTCGAATTCGAATCACGAATATCGAATTCGAATATAATCGAATCAAAAAAATTTGATTTGTTTACAAGCCTAATACCATATAAACAAACAAATGAAAACAATAATTTGCCGAACAAACAATATATACAAAACGATATAATTCGGTTTATACAGACAATCCAACAATTCAAAATGAACACAAAATCTACGAATTCAACATAACTAACTAGGAAGGAGTGTATGGTTTTGTAGGCTTGCGGAGTCTGGACCCCCTCCGAGTATATACCACGTGAGAAGAAGACGAAGGTTGAGGTGTGAGAAGCGTGTCAGTTTGAAAAGCCTGCTCATTTTCATCTTCTTCATCTCAGTAATTCAATTGAAAAAAGAAATTATAAATTGGACTATAAAAAAAATAAAAATTGTTAATTTAAAAATCTCACCTTGTTGAGGCTCGGGCTGCTCAGGTTGGAGGTGCTGGGCGGACGGCTGAGCGCGGGGACAGGCCCGAGGTCTTCTACCCCCACCAATGTTGGGGGCGGGCTGATGCCTGGCCGTGTGTGACTGTGTCCTCATGGGGGGAATGTATTCGTCCTGAGAGAAAACTTGACTGGACGGCCCCCCATGTGGAACACCCTGGCCCCCAACAGTCAGAGAAGAGAAGGCAAAGTTGTACGACTGTTGGAAGCCGGTCTGCGCTTCTAGAGGGATTTGAGGCATTAATGGTTGAATATTGGATAATGCGCCATAAACCCCTTGTAGTGCAGAAGTCTGTAAATAAAATTCATAATAATTAATACGAAACGCAAAAAAAAAAAAAAAAAAAAATAATAATAATAATAATAATAATAATAATAATAATAATAATAATAATAATAATAATAAACACAAATAATGAACACTTACCTGACAGCCTAACCGCTCGGCAAGTGGCTGATACCCGCCCGCCTGCTGGAACACCGGGTAATTGGCAGGGTTATTGATGAATCTCACAGTCCTGCTGTGAAACCATTCAAGGTAACCCTGCTCCGGCTGCGGATAGTCGTGCACGGGGGCAACTGGGAGGAGACGTTGTTCTATTTCTTCGGTCCACGACCTCAGAAACGGCACATGGAATGCAGCCCAATCATAAAACACCCTCCCAGTCATCCCCTGACCTTTGTGGTGTGTGTCCCAGTCTCGCTCATCCAGAATGATCGGATCTTGGGGGATGGACTGGCGACACCCAAATTGACGAAGGACCCTGTCAGGCAGGTGTATCTCCCGGGTGTTCCAACTGAAAATCCACCCCCGGTACATCCAAAATTGTGGATCTCTTGAGCACACCTCCGAGAGAGTATCATTCTCCAGGTGTTGTCGATAGGGCTGCCATTCGAACTGTAAAAAAAATAACAACTGAATTAGTAATTAAGTTATTACAAAATTAGAAACAAAAAAAGAAAGATAAATCAAATAATAGGAATTAAGAATATTACATCATACTCTCCTAGCCCTGTCAATTGATCCCGGTAGGCGACCAATGTATTGGCTATGTTGGATATGCTCCCATGCCCAAACCTACACAAATGGACATTAATTTTGTTATTAGGTATTAGTCGAAGTAAGAAATAATAAAATATTAAATTTTCAAATACCAATTAAATAAATTTACCTGGATCAATTGAACGCAGTTCTTCATCCACTTCTCCTTGGCCTTGTATGAGGTTGACAAAACTCTGTATACTCCGGCCAGGAGCACTGAACCCCAGCTGTACCTCTTAACAACATCTATGTCCTGCAGCAGGTCGAGCCAGTAAAGTGGGACGCCATTTGCCCGCTGGTCGGGGAAGATGAAGGACCCAATGCACCAGAAGATAAGGGCCCTCGCCCTCTGCTCGTACACGATGTCCGGTTGTCCTTCTTGCAACGCACGGTTGCATTCCTCCTCTAACCCGCCATCATTCAGATACTGGACTCTTATGTCCCAAGACTTTGGATCTTGGGCTGCTTACTCTTCCTCGGTGGTGGGAGGATCCTGAGAGTGGTTTTTCCATATTAAAACGATAAAATTGAGTTGACATATATTTAAACAAAATTCTATGAAAAAATATACCTGAACATAGGGCTCGTACCCTAGCAAGTCACTGTAGGGGTGATAGATCTCTAGTCACTCCCACAACAGCCGCTCCAATGATTGGCAGACTGAACAGGACTTGTACGTCCTGGAGCGTGATGGTGGCCTCGCCGAAATCGAAATGGAAGGTATTCGTCTCTGGGCGCCACCTCTCCACGAGAGCAGTAATGAGGCTGTTGTCGGCTTGGACTCGACCCATTCGAAACAAGGGTCCGAAACCAGTCCGGTCGATGACCTCCCAAACCGACCGTGGCTGGCTTGACAAAGCCGCCCAGAACTGACTGTCGAAATGGAGGTTTGTGAGCGCTGTGTCACGAGCTCCCGGCGCATTATCAAATACCGCCTGCGACCGGTGGCGGTACTGGAGATATAGAAGAGTGCCATCCCTCGGACCGGGATGGACACTGTACTGCTGAGGCTGTGAGGAGCACGATGAATCCATTTATATACAAACAATAAAAAAAAAATATTAGGATTAAGGTTATTTATTAGAAAATATTGCTCAAGAGTCCAACATGAACATATATGTATATAACTTGCAACTCAAAAGATTTAATTCAACTCAATTAAATCCCAATTTCATTCTCAACTCAATATATCAAATAACCGGCTCCATATAACTCGCAACTCAACTCAATTTAACTCGCAACTCAACTAAATTAAATTCCATTTTAGCTTCTTCCGTAATAAACTAATCGGCTCGAAAGAATGGAAATCGAACGGCCTCGGGTCTCGGCTACACTCGCGAAACACCTAATTTTAATCGAGTCCACAATTTCACAATTCGAAGTTCAATTTGTAGTCCTAATTCCGAAAAATCGAACTTCACTCAATACTTCACACACTAGTTCACACAATAGTACACACAATAGTTCACAAATTCACATT